GGTCAACCTTTGGTTTTACAGTATCCTTTCAAGAAACAACAAACATTTCAAACGTTTAAAGGCTTCCAGCTATGTTCAGTGCCATGGGACACAGTCCTCAGAAGCTTTTAGTCACACTGGTTAATTAGTGCCAGACCTTTTCTGACTGGTGAGGGTTTTAAGGTATATGATCTGTGGCTTTGTTAATGCAAGCACAGATGTAGGCAGCCCACTGAAGCCCAAGATAATCTTCTGCCTTTACCCCCAAGAAGTCAGAGGGTAAAAGCTTCCAAGTCTCCAATCCATATTGCGTTCCAAAAGCTGGAGTGATTCCCAGTCATCAGGAGAATGTATGTGGTCATCAGTTCTCAGTCATCCTGGAGAAACATGCCAGGAATCTATGGAAGCGAAAGTCACTGAAGCAAAAGACATCCTTCTACCACAGCATGACCCTGCTTCTCTCTGCAGATTGCAAATTAGCTTGCCTTTTTGTTGTGATTGGTAAACGAAAGCTTCCTTTGCATGTCTGCTTAAATAAGAACATTTAAAAGAATTGCATGCCTGGAGGGAATAAGAGATAATATCAGGAAATGCCTCCTTTAAAATGTAACATCATTTTTAATTCCTTCTCATAACCAAAAGCAAGTGCCTAGTCCTCATGCTTGTAGAAAATGTACCTAGAGTATTCCAACTAGTTGCTCCCTAGGAGCAGTGGAGGGATAGATCTAAGAGCATCTCAGCATTGGCTTCAATACCGAATCCCACATCAGTTTGTCCCTCACTAACTCTGCACTTCTTTTCTCTGTCCCTTATCTCTTGTTTGCACCCTCCTCCGCCTTAATGTCAGCAGTGGGGGGTGAAAGCAGCGGGCAGAAAATTCCCATGTGATCTGTACTATTTTTGAAATGCCTCCTCAGTTTGAAGTAAGGAATTAGTGTTTGGGGACAGATTGAGTCAGAGGACAGCGGTGGAACCAAGAGGAGAACCAACACATGCTGCACCTCTTTTAAATTCAGTTCAACTGCTGCTTACTGCAGCATATGCATCTGGAGGGAAATGTCCGAGCATGTCAAAAATGTCTTTTCCTCAACAGTGAGTAACCATGGTCAAGGTCTTTATCTTCACATCCTTGCAGTTACAGAAGGAAAATCCACATGTACATGGGAAGAATTGTTAACTGCTGTATAGCCCAGTGGTTTAGGTCTCTGGCTGCCGAGCCAGAGGTTGGGAGTTCAATAGCTTCCTTGACAGGGGCTAGATTTGATTATCCATAAGATCCTTTCCAGCTCTGCAGTTCTATGATGATGATGATTAAAGAACAGAATGGTTGTCCTAGCCAGGTGGCTGTCGTTGTTTAGTCGTTAAGTTGTGTCCGACTCTTCGTGACCCCATGGACCAGAGCACGCCAGGCCCTCCTGTCTTCCACTGCCTCCTAGAGTTGGGTCAAATTTCATGCTGGTAGCTTCAGTGACACTGTCCAACCATCTCGTCCTCTGTTGTCCCCTTCTCCTCTTGCCTTCATACTTTCCCAACATCAGGGTCTTTTCCAGGGAGTCTTATCTTCTGGTTGTTGTGGGGTTTTTGGGCTCTTTGGCCATGTTCTGAAGATTGTTCTTCCTAACGTTTCGCCATCTTCAGAGGACAGCACTCTTTCCTCTGAAGATGCCGGCCACAGAGACAGGTGAAACGTTAGGAAGAACACGGCCAAAGAGCCTGAAAAACCCCAAACAACTGGTATATCATTCGATTGATCAAATGAACGAACTAACGAACGAACAAACAAACAAACAAACAAACATCACTACAGGAAAAACCTTAGCTTTGACTATTTGGACTTTTGTTGGCAAGGTGATGTCTCTGCTTTTTAAGATGCTGTCGAGGTTTGTCATCACTTTCCTCCCAAGAAGCAGGTGTCTTTTAATTTCGTGGCTGCTGTCTCCATCTGCAGTGATCATGGAGCCCAAGAAAGTAAAATCTATCACTGCCTCCGTATCTTCCCCTTCTATTTCCCAGGAGGTGATGGGACCAGTGGCCATGATCTTAGCTGTCACCATCTGCAGGTGGCTGTTAGCCTCCCTCATTTCAGCTGTGTTCTTAATCCCACAGTGCAACCAGCTGGCAAGAAATGTCGATGTGTGTTTTTCTCTCCTTAGGAATGGGCCTTACAAGTGGCTGGGTCCCTGGACTGTAAGCCAAAGAGGCAAATTTCCGCCCTGTCATTTTTAACTTGAAGAGAAAAAGGAATGGGGGCTCCCTACCAGTGACAGGCAGCAGAGGGAGGTTTGCTATGGCCGTGCCAGGGAAGATGCCTGAAGCTTGGAACTAAAAAATGAAAACTTTTTTTAAAAAAATCAATATTGGAAGAAGAGTAGAACTGATAGATTCACCTGCCTACAGCCTGGTTTGGAATCCCTGTGTGTTCCATGATATTTGGGGGATCATCACCTTTCCACCTCAGTAGGATCCACATTTTCAGCATTGACATGAAAAAAAAAAGGTCCTTTCCATTCTGGGAGCATCTTTCCCTGTTGTGCGTGTGTACAGTGTGGGAGGTCATGAAACCTGTTCATTTTGTTAATAGGAAATCCCCACATTTGTTTGTAAGTTTGATGGATAATCCAATGTAAAACCGAGGAAAACAAGAAAAGACACCTCCCTGTGGTTTGCAGCAAAAATAAAGAGATCTCTGATCATCTCTGGCTCCGGTGGATGTTGTGAACCGTATAAACAGTCTGCAAAGGGAAGGAGCTTCTGGGTTGCAGGGTGTGGCTTGCAGACAAGCTCTAGCAGTTCTCAATTTAATAATTAAAGCAGTCATTGCCAATACTCCTCCTCTGCCTCTGTGCCAGCCTTTCTCAATGCACTTTTGAATTCTATCCCACATACGAGTTCAAGGCTTATACTTTGAGTTAAAATATAGGCACATGAGTTAAATTGACCCAAAACTCACTAGAACATAATTATTATGAATGCTTTTTCCTTGCATAGCTGATGTTGTGCCCTATTATAGATATCTACGGCCCCCGTAGAGAAATATATTAGGTTACCCCCCCAAAGGCATGTTTTCATATTTTACGTGGTTTACATTTGTATATATTTTTGCAGTCTCCTAGCTCCTGCACTTCCGATACATAAGGAAAAAAACTTACTTAAAATGTAATGATCAAGCAGTTAGTAGCAAAATCTGTGACTATCTCTGACAAGATGAATCTTATTTAAGATGCAAAGATGAACAGACTAGTAGGGAAATCTGAGCCTTCACTCTTAACAAAAGCATAGAAAATTTACATAGACAGGAGATTAGTTGTATAATATACTGGAATACCACATCTGTTCTCTCTACCACAACTTACATTAAGTGAAACAGAGACAAAAATGGAACTCTTATGAGGTGATAGTGCCTTTCAGAAGGAATTCAGAAATGACAAATGGCAACTTCCACCCCACTGTCAAGGGTGGCCCTCCCATTGGGCAGGGTAGGATGCCCACCCATTGTTAATAGAGTTACATATTTTTTACCTGCCAGATGGAGGAGATGCACTTATGGGATATTCTGCCTTTTGTACCAAAATAACCTGAGTTTACTGAGCCAGACCATTGAACTGGCCTCTAAACTTCTAACCAGCAGTTAGACTATAGGTTCATGCCAAGATTGTTACTACTTAAGCTGTGTGTCAGGCAGTAAACTTTCTTGAGCTGCCCCACTTACTGGCATCCCCGCAGCTGCTGGCAGGTTTACCACCACCCACCACAGAGTTAGATGCAACATTATTGCAGTGCCACTCCTGGTGTTTTTCGCCTGTTTGTTAAGTGCAAACCTGAGTCACAAACCCCTAAAGCAGCTGGAAAGTCCCCCCCCCTTTTTTTTTTGTTAGGAAGCAGTCAGTGTGGGATGACCCTGGAGTTAAATATCCTCTCCTATCAAAATCTCATTCTTTCAAATCAGAACCAAATTAATAAATCTAGTGATTGAAAATTAACAGATCCAGCACATTTCGATGCTTGCTGCTTCCCGTGGATGTGAAACCCCCACCTTTATCCTGGACCGAGAGGCTCCGGTTACGGGATCGGTCGCAGTCCCAGTCAGGGCAGTTCGAATCGGGCGCAGAGCGGAAGGCTTCCTGGCTGCAAGTCCACGGGGCTCCGTGGTAACGATCCCTGCAGCCGGAGCAACAGGTGGCTCTGGAGATGCTCTCGTCTACGGTGCCCAGAGGGAGCGGAGGGAAGAGGCCGTCCAGGACGCAAGGGAGCCGCACCGGGCCGCTTGGCTTCGGCTTCACTCTTCGTCCTTCCTGCCGGACGGGAGCTCCTCAGTCCGTAGCCTGATCGCCGCCTCTCGCCTCGCTGGAGGAGCGGCGGTTACCTCAGCTCGCATCTCTGCGTAATGACGCGCCGGGAGAGCCAGCAAGGCTGGAGGAGGAGGAGAAGGCAGGCAGGCGGGCAGGAAGCGGGCGAGGAGGCGGGCAGGCAGCGCGCGCGGGAGGCGGAGAAGCGCCGACCGAGCGCTTAAA